ATCCGACCCCAGTGTCAGACTGAGTTTCCTGTGGAGAAATGTTTTCTTTTGCAGGACTCAGGCCTACTAAAAAGTCCATAAAACATTTAAATAGCCAGCGATGTGAGTGATGAAAATGTTATAGACATATACATCCTCCCTGCACCCTACATTACCATAATAAATGCTTATCACTTACAAAGGTGGAAATGTTTTTTTTTAAGGAGAAAGCAGACACAGCATTTGAAATGCACAGACGTTGTTTACTGTGAACTCTATCCACAAGATTAGAACCCAAGCACTTGCTACAGATGAGGGCACAAAGAGATTGCCATTTTTTTTGGAAGAGACAATTGCTCAAAATCCAATTCATAGTAAGGAATATTCATTACAGAAATCTTTCCATTTTTTCACCTATATAAAATGGAGATTTATTCTTAATGGCTGAACCATTATCCTTGAGGCGGTCTTTCACCTGTACGATGCATTAAAGTAGAACTGAAGCCAAAACATTTTTTAGTTTTGGATAGAAGGGGTGTTATAACCGCTGTCATGTTTTTTTTGCCTTCCATGTTCTATTTTGGAGAATTTCCCTTACTTCCTGTCTGATGGCCATAACCGAAAGTAAGGGAAATCCCTGGTGGTCAGCGGGGTCACCATAACTAGTGTACTCAATGCAGGTTAGAGGGTCCCATTGTGCATTGCTGCAACACTACTTTATACAACATTAGGCTACAAATAATAATTATTTTAATTAATTATTTACCCTTACCTCTTGTGGCCGGTCTTCTATCTTCATCTGTTTCCTGTGTGTTTTCTGTTTGCTGGGTCCTCACTGCCGTCCGAGGCCCCATGATGTACCTGCAAGGCGGTCTTCAGTGCCTCCTTGTTCCGCGGCTCCTGACACTGGGCGCAGAGATGGGGGGGCCGCTGGGTACCGATCCGGTGCTGGGCCCCCCACAGGCCCAAGGCCCTGGTGCGCCCACACCGCCGGTAGTTCCCCCACTGACTCAATGGTAGATTTTCCCATCAATTCCTGTTCTGGAGGCAATCCAAAATCTTGGCTATTATTTCAGTGATGGCATATACCTAATGGAGAGGATGAATCTCCCTAATGGAGACACAGACAGCAATACACAAACAGGTCTTCTAAATCCTCTCCACTCCAGTTTTGGCTTCTGACATGAATATGAATTGCAGGACAGCATAACCAAAATGCAACCCAAAGTGATTCTAACAACACACTGCATCGGTCTGATTAGGTCTTATCGAAAACAAGTGATCGCCTCCTGTCCATATAGTTTGTTGCATCAGAAAATGCACGCTAATGGATGTAGTATGGGCAAGCCTAGAGACTGCAAACTGACAACACACAAGGAAACCATCATATTAAGTGATATAACATTTTCATAAATATAATATCAGTGTACAATGTCCCTGTGCTACCTAAATAGTATGGATATACAATATATAAATGTCCTTGGGTCTCTGAGAAGAGTAAATAACGCAAGTTTACAACTGAAAAGATCAAAGGTCACAGAACTTGAACAGTAAAAAAATTTATAATATACATATCAAAAGCCTGGGAAGCAAAAGAAAAATCGATAAGTCAATAACCTCATTTAATTCTACAATGGTAAGTACACTTTATTTATACAGTTAATATTACATGTTTCATAAACCTGTCTGAGCAGAGTTTTAGGGTAATGTGTTCCATACCAATATTTGGATTGCAGTGGGGTTAGAAACCACATGTTTAATTACACGGCTTGACACGTGCTGAGATTTAAGTGTTAGGGACTCTGACATTGCACCAAGGTCGGGTAATACTAAGTTCTAGCATTGCAGTAACAATTCAAATAACACATTTAAGTCATTTATTGTGGAAGTAGTGGAATGCTGATGAAGAATTGCAGAGAAGTGAAGTTTTCATACACCACGGGGCCCCAAACCTTTTAATCAAAGGGCCAGTTCTCTGTCCTTTACACTGTTTTAGGAACAGTGTTGGGGCCTCTGACATTGACCTAAGGGTGAGTAAGAGCTGACATATTGTAATAACAATTTAAATAACATGTAAGTGATTTACGGTGGAAGTGTTTGAATGCTGATGAATTGTATAAAAGTGAAGATTTCATACACCATGTGGCCTCAAGTCTTTTTAATCAAAGGCCCGGCATCATTTGGAGTAAAAATGTCCCTGCATCCTTGGGCAGTAAGAGTAATAAATGTTCCTGCGTCAATGTTCGGTGAGAGTAACAAATACACTTACAGTATGTCAGTGGGAGTAATACACTCCTTGGAGTTAGTGGTCAAAACGGCGCCCCTGTGCCAATGATCAGTGTCAGTGGTGCCCCCCTGTGCCAGTAGACAGTAGGAGATCACTGCACCCAATGATGCCTCTAACATTACCAGGGACTGGAACGCTCTGCTCTATAGTCCCCAACATCTGCTGCCCCTGTACATTATGACTTCCCTAGCAAGCATTGACAATGCCATGCATGCAGAGCCTGTTTATTGCAGGAGCTAGTCTACAGCAACCAGTAAACCATAGTTTGGGGACTTCTGTTCTATACCATTTGTAAGTGCTAAGCACCAGGTACCAAATGGGAATATGAAATGACTGTCTTCCTGTTTTCAAAAATGGAAGCCTTCCTCTGGTGTATGGCAGGTTCTCTTTAAAGGTATTCATTGATGTTAGTTTATCCTTGCCCAATCAATGATGTCGAACTTCTGGAGGCACAACAGCCAATAGAGTATTTTAAAATAAAGGTTCATTAAAAAAGGAGGACCGTGTAAAGCTGAACTCCAGGCAAACCTCTAAATACACAAATTATATGGGTGCTGTTTTATCTGCCAAAGGATTTGCATTTCTGTCCATCTAGTCTTGTGGTTTACACAGTTTTGCCACACAGTACAGCCCGGTTGCTGAAACCACTCAAGGAATGCAACATCTACCTGCCTGTTGAGTGGACAGTGAAAAAACAGCCCCCCCTCCTTCCTACCATCTCTGAGTGGCTATACGTAGCTCCGCCCACACAGCTGCATCATCCAATCACAGATGCTTTGACATTAGCCACTGCAGCAGAGCAGCAGTTCTCTATGGAATACAAGTGTGGTGACATCACCGAACTGTAGCCCATTCATTCTTCCTCCCTACCATGTTACTGAATGTCTGTACTGAGGTATATGGACATGGGCAGGAGGAAGAGTCTGCATTCTGCCATCCACTGATCACAGTTGCAATGCTTTACCGGTTTCAATGCAAAAAATAATAAATGCACATCCCTCGAGCCTCTCTCCCCCTCCTCTGCAGTGGTCTAAGGTCCCCGAGTCATCATGTTCTATACACAGTAACGGATGTGAGGACGCCCAGGGGCATACCTTCTCTGCAGCAGAGGAGGAAGCTGGAGGGAGTGTTGTCACAGCAGGCTGGTGCGGAGGATCAGATGGGTATAACTTTGGTCCTTTTGACCCTATGCAAAAATTAGCACTTAACCCATGCAGTACGGGAGGGGGGCAGCCCCACTACAAGGGTTCATAACATTTTTGTCCAGAGTTGTTCCTAAACAAATACTACACTGCACTGATTTGTGTCTCTTAGATCTGCCTGGAGATTTCTGTAAATCCGCTTATGAAATGTTCAATAAATGAATTTGTGTAAAGAGAAGGATATTTGGAGTTAACCATTCGACCTCTGCTGGCATCCAGACATTTTATTTGTCATTTAGAAGGGCACATCCTTTGAAGAATAAGTAATTCAGACCTTTACCTGGGATCCCTCCCATGATTCAGCCCCCTGCACATCCCTGAGACTTGTATT